ATAAACAAACAGAAATACTATTAAAAGTAAAAGTAAGAGAGTTTTACTCACTGTTGAGTTGTGGTGAGTAGCTGCCATCTTGTATCCTGAATTCTCCCACTTTCTGACTGGGAATTCCCACTGGACTTCCAGTTTAAATTTATAATTTTGTAAATGGGAAATTCCCACTTCTGAGGACAACTGGGCTGCATCACATGTAGCCAGCAAAAATGCATCTAAGTGGAGAATTTACATGGTAAATATTTTGTCTAGTACAACATATTAATACATCTTTAAAGCAATGGGCCACACAAAATGCTGTGGTTGACCACATTAAGCCCACGGACCATGAGTTTGACACATGCTTTAAATTGTGGGGTTTTATTTGTTTCCTATGGTATATTGTATTATGTTGTATAATGTTTTATATCATGTAAAACCGCTGCAAGTGAAAAACAAAGATACATATAAGTGCTTAACTAAGCTGAATGAATAAAAGGAAAGCTTGATGATAGTATTGTCAAACTTTATTCTTTTCTTTTCTTTATGCTGGTACACAATAAAACATTTGAGTAGCACCCTTCCTAACATTTGTCATGCACCCGACTGTTTTATTTAATGAAGCCTAAATAAACAAGTAGCTTTGATTCGTGGGGCGCTTTCCTGATCTCTGACCTTTCCCGAGGCCTTCATCCGAGGAGTTTCCAGCTTGTTGAACCGGCCTGTCCCCGTCACTGACCCGTCATAAACTGTCCCAGGGCACAAGCAGCACATTACTGGGTTTGTTTCAAGTCACGAGGAGGAAACAGACGGAACGATTCGACTTCAGACTTAGAAAGATGAATGGAAAGCATTTCAAGAATAAGACAGGATGAAAACAATGCAAACAGATGATTTAAAACAGTTTCCTCGTGAACAAAACTGTCTCCTTTCCTCTCACACTGTAAACATGGTGCCCTGACATACGGCTGCTTTATGTAGCTCTGCCTTCAGATGATATGATTTCCTGCCTGTCAGGTTCAGTTTGTGTAATACCAGGACAGGTTCACCTGTTATCAGAAAACGGTTTAATCCGTTGGCACAACGCTCAGTCTACTCCCATTTTATTCGGCTGCACATGGGCACGCAGAGAGCCACAGCATGAAGCAGATTAGGCCGAGCAGAACCGTTCATATGAATAATTACTGTAACCAGATGTTACCAAACTTTACAGCTTCTACTTCTGCCTCTCCCACAATTGAAATATAGGTTTTAAGATAGCTTAGAAGCTAATTATTCCAGAACATGACAACAAAAACAGAGTTAACAACTAATAAAATAGTTTTAACCACATAATGAAAGGGTAAGAATAACTGTACAGATAATTTTTAAATATGTTTTGATCTATGGAGATTATCACAAGACCCACTAAGACACATTTCAAACTCCACGGGCCAAATGTTGCCCATCGTGGCATTTTATTTTATTTTATTTTATTAATAAATTAAAATAGGCAAATGCTGTTTTAAAGCCAGCATTGACCAAGCATGTACCCTCCAGTGGGAATTCCCTGTCAGAAAGTGTGCAACTCACACTCAGGATTCAAGATGGCAGCTATACTCACCACAACTCAATGACTAAAATTCACTTACTTTGACTTTTACTAGTGTTTCTGTATTATTTACTTCTCATTTAGTCAGTTATACACGTAGTACTTTTCACTGTTTATACTAGGATGTGTAAAAACACTGTTTCTGTGCAGGAAATACCAGGTAGAGCTCAGTTATTGTTTGTTAGCTGTGCTCAGATGTTTGAAACGAGGAACGTCACGTTTCATGTTTAGTTGAAGTCCAACACAAAATGTCAAAGTTAATTACATCTGGCCCTCTGAGGGCAACCATGATGCTCATGTGGCCCTCAGAGGAAATCGGATAACGGTTCGTAATCCGTTTTTTTTTCCGTTTTGGTTCAATAAACAAAAAACGAAAAAACAAGTGTTTTTTTTTTCATTTTTTTGTTTCAAATGAAGATAATAACTGCCTGAATGTAATTGGATCGGTACACAGACCCCTGCCCTAAGATATTGTGGAGTCCTGGCCTCAATTTTAGAACCACTTATCTCAACCTCAGTTAGTAAATAACCTGAGAAGACATTCTAACATCTGGCCACAGTTTAACCTGAATCAAAGCCAAATGTATCTGATATTTTTTATTTTTGGTTAGTTTGTGTTTTATGATTAGTTTGTTTCTTTGTGTTTCTTTGTGTTTAGGCATATATTTATTTTATTGTGTTTTATTTTAAGCCAGTATTCATTCCTCTTATGCTCCATTCAGTCAGTCTGCCAAGCCCACTCTCACCTGTTCCCAGTTTGTATTCAGCACCAGGTGTTTCCACTCACTCATCAACCTCGTTCCACATGTTCAGTCTGTTCTCCTCACAGCAGCACTGCTTTATTAGTTTTACCACAATCTGATTTTGTATTCTTCAGGGATTTGTTTACAAGTACCTATAAGCCACGACTGCTTTTGTTTTAGTTTGAATGAAAAATATCATTTTTTTTTTAAAGTTCCTCAAGTCAAGTCTGCATTTGGGTAAAATTCTCTGTTGTTGTGACAAAAGAAGTTTAAAGTGCCTGTGACATCCAATTTTTGTAATAAACATGAATGCATTTTTGGAAAGATAACACTGATAACATGTTGCAAAACAAATTTCATGCCTCTGGAACGAACAGTTGTTGAGATATTTACATGTGAAGAAACAGGAAGTGATGTCAAAGGGGAATGTCTGCATGTAAACAGAACGATGTTACAATAGCAAACAGACTGTAGAGAAAAATCTGATGTTTCTTTAGATTATTTTGAGTCGCTATCAAAGAGAGACAAAGTAGAGTTAAAATTTAGATAATTTTGTTTTAATATTGTATTAATGAGTTCTCCTTTGATGTCACTTCCTGTTTCACTTTGGCTGAACCAAATTCAAAAGAAAATAGGTCAGTTATGTGACAAAATGGGTAAAATAAGCTGTACTATGCCAATTTTTTAAGTATAAAGATGCTTTCTTTGACTTTTTGTATTTGAAGGATAGTCACAGGCGCTTTAAACAAACAAATAATTGTATAAATGACTAACAATCATACTTGAAAGTGAAAAAAACTTTTTAAATGAAAGTGACAATAAAATTTGAATTTTAAATTCAAAACTGAAAAAAGTAAAAAAAAATAAAACTTTCAATTTCAAAAATATATTTAATTCTAGTTGATTAATATGGAAAAGAATTAGGAGCACAGTGCTATGAAAAGCTTTATTATTATTAATTGGTTTATTTTACTGGAGTTCCGACTTTCATCTCAGAATTTTGAGGGGAAAACGTCAGAATACAGTGGAAAAATTATAATTGATTATAATATTTTACAGGTTATGTATAAGGCCCATAAATGTATATTGCCTTTAAACATCAAATTGAATTTTGTTAAAAGAGAAAGTTGTTTTAAATCTGAAAGGGGTGGAGATGTTTGTGAAACCTGGATTTAGAACTTGTTTAAGGGAACGATGTACGTCGGTACAAGGCATAAGACTGGAATAATCTGGAGAGTGAGGTCAAAAATGCAAGAACAATATTGATGTTTAAGTGAATGGTTAAGGTCACTTTGTTAAAGAAATATGAAATAATATAATGTGGAAATGATGCTAAGTTAGGATATGAGGTTGTTTTTTTTTGGTTTTGTTAGTTTTTGTTTGAAGATCATGTTTAAATTTATTTTTTGAGGAAAAAAGGTGCAGATATAAGATTTTTCTGTCGCCTGTGATTTGTTTCCCATCCAAGTCATCTCATCTTTGCCACGCTTCTCCTCCTGCATACTTTGTCCTAGAGCTGCCATTTTAATTTATATCTGTAAAGCTCCTGTGCCAAATGATGGCTATGCCTTTTGGTGCCTGTAAAACTTATAGTTTTTGAAATATTAATGTTTAATAAATTATAATGGCAGTCAATGGAGCCTTGTATTGGTCCAATACTGCCCCCTACTGCATCCACACAATATGGTACTGCACCATAGTTTCATAATATTTAAACTCAGTAGTTCAGTGATTACAATACTAATATGATTGTATTTTGATGTTTTACTATAATATTGTCTTAATACTGCTCTATTGTTGTAATATTATGCAGTTTAGTGTCAATAATTGTATTGGCAATGTGGCCTCTTTCTGCAAAAATACTTCTGCCACAGCTCCATTGGTCTAATGGTCTATGTCATGGACTTTCATGTGGGAGATCAGGGTTCAAAACCTGGCTAATGCAACTTTAACAAAAATCTCTTCAAACTTCATATTGTCACACAATTACCTTAATTCTAAACACCTGCTGACGTGACAGCCACAAGCTGGTATAGAAAACACATTTGAACTTGGTCAAAGCTCATTCTGCAAGTCCAATGCTGCAGGTAAAGCCATGCTGCAATGATATGCTACATGGCAGAGCACACTTGTTTTTACATCGTAAAAACCCATGTCTGGTTTTATTTGTGATTTGTGTTTTTATTGTACATAGATTTTGTTACTTTTAAAGAAATTAAATGAATAAAGAATTAAGAAAAAAAACTTTTTTTCACCTGGTCTTAAT